TTATCCATACAAGACTTACTTCCCCAGCCTTAGAAACTCTACTAGGAACTGTAAGAGCAGTTCTTCTTTTCCTCACCACCAAAAGGCGTCCTTTCGTTGTACAGCCTACAATATCAGGAAAATCATATCTATTTTTGTCAGTCCCTAGTGTGGTTTTTCAGTTAGCAACCATTTGCAGATGAAAGGAATGGAATATAATCCAAATTGAAACCATACTGCTCTTCCTATCAATTAACTTCAGCTACAGTAACTCTGCTCAAAACTAGAGAAGTGTTTAAAATTTAGGTTTCTTGGTACATCAAAGCTACTGCAGAAGAGCAACATCGATTTTAAAAAGCAGAGGCATGCAGATATTATTGCAGAATTTTTTTCTGAACATTAAATTAGTGAAGCCAAGTGTGTGCTTCTTCCATCTTGCGCACGGAAAAGCTGTGTCTTTGACCTTTGGTCTCCCTTCCACTGGGAGGTATTTCTCCTTCATTACAGAGAGAGCACTTTCTTCTGTTGAATCACCCTCTCACTACTATCAGACTGACTGATGGATTTTTCCTCTCTTTTGTGTGCCTTCCTAACTCCTCAAGTTAATTCTTTCTGTATATGTAGCCTTGTTTTATCCACCAGTATTTAGATGTATTAAGCAGTGAAGGGTAAAATGTGAATCCCCAAACTTCAATTCAGCTACTTTTGAACACATAAGTACCTGGTGGACTAAGGCACTAACGTTTTCCTTAGAAAACTGCCGAAGTGCTTGAGTAGCTGTTAATGAGCATGCAAAAAAAGGACATCAGGGCTTGCCAGCAGGAAGCAGTTGGGTTTCTCGATCCTACGCAAATTTAATAAAGTTTGAAAGTATTTCTCTGTGTCTTAGACTACACTGCTCTTGTTCAACACAGCACCAGGAGAAGCGATCAGAATTTTCCACAAGTCCCATGATCAGACTACTTACTGTGAATATGCTGGACTCAATTTTCACTGCCTTCTGACTTTAACTGAAGTTTATGTCTCCTACCTCTCAGGTGAATTCTCTGCCTGTATGATTAGTTGGATGCTTGAGGGTAAATATCTCTAAATCCTTCTTGCTGCTTTTCATTAAATAAAGGACCTTTTACCTATACAGAAAAGGAGGTCTTTTTCACCCTTCCCAACTTTTACCACAAGCACTCAATAGCCAAATTGTTTCACTGACTGAAGCCACTTCTGAAGCCTAAGGGATGCCAGATGTGTATCCAAAGTCATACTTACACTCTTAACCTAAAATATATCCCCAAAACTTATGAACAATTTTTACTTAATTATCAAAGGAAATATAGCACTGAGGGAGAAAATGTTGCCATTTGTCTAGTGTCTCCTTGAAACAGCAAAGGTGCAGTGCAAGAATGTATAGAATCACATAATAATTTAGACCAAAACGTACCTCTAGAGCTCATCTGATCCGTCCTCATGCTCAGTGCTTGAATCAGGTTGTAACGTAAGCCCTATTTCGTGTGTTGCACAAGAAGACTCAGATTAATTCAGCATGAGTTTCAGCTGGCAGTTATAGGGGAAAAAAAACAGTTGGAGTTGGATTTTGATTCTTCATATAAAAAGTGATAAATAAATTAACTATAGTGATTTTTCATGAACAAAATGAAATACGAACAGTGTGAACTCTACTGTTGTGTGTCACAAACATGAAAACTGAGCCAGTGAACTGTGGCTCCCTTGACTATCTGGCTTCCCACTTTGGATATAATGGTTCTTGAGTAAGTGTGGCCTAAATTGGTTGTTTTCTAATGATTATTAACAATGAGAATATCCTATGTCTTCCTCTTGATGACTGCTGACTTTAGCACCATTGTCAGAAGACTGCTGAGTTGTATCATTGCCACTTCTCCATGCCTCAAGCTGTCCATAACTTGCTCATTTCTTCTTTATGAAATGCAGAATGACTGAAGTGTTCTTAGGCAAACAAATTCATGGAGGAATTTTGCAATTGAAACATGTATCCTTCCACAATAGCTTTGTGAAGGATACTATTTTATTCAAAAACTACTATTCCTATTTTAGGTGCTTGGGAAAACCCCACACAATTTCTTGAACTGATTTCAAGCTGCGTGTGTGTAGAAGTTTTCATATTAAAACAAAAGATACATTATTCACTGTTTTTAAAAATTTATTATCACATTTATTTACCCCTCTGTCTGTAAAACTTATGCCACGTATAATTTGAAAATCAAACTGCTTCAAGATTGCTCTAAGGCAATGAAGTTTCTATTGTATTTACATAATTTAAAGCCTACTTGTTTTGGAATACTAATTTTTTGGTCTTGGGGAAGGCTAACATTGATCAGTAACATCTTAATGAACATTTGTAGGGGTTTGTGCTTGGATTACCATCGAAAAAGCATGTATTCAGATTGAGCTAAAAGGAATATTTTCACTGTTGTGCTGTGTATTCTTTCTAGAAATGAGAACTGTCATACACCCATCTGGAATTAGAGAAGGGTAACTGAGGGGTTCCTTCCTTCTGTCTTTTTCTCTTTACAAGTATTAAGCACAAATATGTTAAATGACTTAGAGATGAGATGAAACAAACGATCTAAGCATAATAAAGATCTATGACTGTCTTGAATTATTTCCAAATGTAAATGTACGCATAGCCTCCAGGTCTTCTTCGGTAGCTTTTTCTCTTCTAGACATAAATTTACTAAAGCAGAAATTCTATTTCATAGCTTGGATACTTTAGTGTCTGATAATTTGTAGGTGAGAATAAGCTCCCTTTAAGGGGCATATGAGAAGAAAGAGTTTTCTCTATTTTTTACTCCAAAATTGATAAATTCTGTCTGTTCCACCAGGTTCACTTTTTTACTCATCACTGTGCAAAATTTTGTTTGCCTGCATCAGCTAACCAATGCTTCTGAGCTGATTTCAGTAATCTTTCTTTAGCCTGATACTTTGATTCACATCAGATGACTTTGGAAAATGAAACCCTATATGTGAAGAGTATCTTAAAATGGTGTTGCTGTAATATTCTCAGTTAGTGTGAGGACTTCAGACTTTGCATAATTTTATAGCCTTTCTATTCAGTTTGGATTGAATATGGTACAGTGTAGCATTGATTACTTTGGAAGTAAATGCCTCAGCGTTCTTTTGAATTTAAGTAGCTGGGTTCAATATCCTTAATGGAATTTCATGTTAGGTTTTCTCTTCCTCAGAAGTTCAAATATTACCTGTGATCTCTAATTTTAAACTTTTCTGGTTTCTAAAAAGTAGATGAAGAGATGGACTGAGAGGTTACATGGCATTTTAAGAGCTGACCTTCTGTTGCTAATGCATCCAGAATTCTCAACAGTCTGTCCATCATGTTTAGGACTTTTGACCTAACTCAATACCACAGTGAAATCAAGTTTTTCCACTTGAAACACTGTGTCAGTATTTCATACTTCCATTTATGGTTTTGCTTTGTAATATCCTAGCTTGCACCAAATTTTAAAGTAGCTCCTAGAAATCTAAAGCGAATAAAAGAAAGAAACTTCACCGCATTGGGCAAAGGCTTCTGCTCTCTGCTGGTATGTTTTATAACTTCATGATGGAAAATAATTTTTTAACCATTTTTAAAATTATTGGTGCCAGTGTGGGTGAGAGCAGTAGATTGTCTTTGACTTTAGCAATGTTTTAGACACCATCTTCCACCATAGTCTTGCATCCAAATTAGAATGTTGCAGTCTATATGCAACTCAATGAATTTTTGAAAAAATGAGTTTGGGTGACCAGGCTCAAAGACTGGTGGTTACTGGGTTGTTCACTATCTCAGTGCTGATTAACAAATACAGTACTGCAGGAATCTGTCTTAGAACATGTCCTGATAACATCTTCACCGATGTTCTGAAGGATGTGAGAGTGAACACTTACCAAGTTTGCTCTTGACACCAAAATAAGATACCTCTTGATGTGCTTAAAGGCAGGGCTGTCATCGGATATACACAGACAGGTTGGAGGACAAAGGCAAATTCTTCCACCAGGGAAGGAGAAACCTCTTGCTACAGATCCAAGAAAGGCCTAGGAGCAGCTCTGCAGAAAAGATACTGGAAGTCCCAGTAGGCAGCAAGCTGTGAGCCAGCAGTGCACCCTGATAGCAAAGAACAACAAAGGTATTCTGGGCTGTATTAACAGTGCATCCTGTAGACCAAAGGAAGGGATTATTCCTCTGCTTAGCATTCATTTAAATACTTTTGAATACTGCATCCAGTTTGAAACCTTCAAAAAAGAACAAGATCATAGAATCATAGAATAGTTAGGGTTGGAGAGGACCTTAAGATCATCAAGTTCCAACCCCCCTGCCATGGGCAGGGACACCTCCCACTAAACCATGTCACCCAAGGCTCTGTCCAACATGGCCTTGAACACCACCAGGGATGGAGCATTCACAGCTTCCCTAGGCTACCCATTCCAGTGCCTCACCACCCTTATAGTAAAGAACTTCTTCCTTAAATCTAATCTAAACTTCCCCTGTTTAAGTTTGAACCCTTTACACCTTGTCCTATCACTACAGTCCCTAATGAAGAGTCCCTCCCCAGCATCACTATAGGCCCCTTTAGATACTGGAAGGCTGCTATGAGGTCTCCACGCAGACTTCTCTTCTCCAGACTGAACAGCCCCAACTTCCTCAGTCTGTCTTCATACAGGAGGTGCTCCAGTCCCCTGATCGTCCTCGTGGCCCTCCTCTGGACTTGTTCCAACAGTTCCATGTCCTTTTTATGTTGAGGACACCAGAACTGCACACAATACTCCAAGTGAGGTCTCACAAGAGCAGAGTAGAGGGGCAGGATCACCTCCCTCGACCTGCTGGTCACGCTCCTTTTGATGCAGCCCAGGATACGGTTGGCTTTCTGGGCTGTGAGTGCACACTGCAGCCAGGCTGCTCTGAATCTCTTCTCTGCCCAACCTGTAGCTGTGCCTGGGATTGCTCTGACCCAGGTGCAGGACCTTGCACTTGGCATGGTTAAACTTCATGAGGTTGCCATCAGCCCACCTTACAAGCGTGTCGAGGTCCCTCTGGATGGCATTCCTTCCCTCCAGCTTACCAACCAAACCACACAGCTTGGTGTCATCGGCAAACTTGCTGAGGGTGCACTCAATCCCACTGTCCATGTCACCGACAAAGATGTTAAACAAGACCAATCCCTGAGGGACACCTCTCATTACTGGTCTCCAGCTGGACACTGAACTGTTGACCTCTTTGCATGCCACCATCCAGCCAGTTTTTTATCCACTGGGTGGTCCACCTATCAAATTGATGTCTCTCCAATTCAGAGACAAGGATGTCGTGTGGGATAGTGTCGAACGCTTTGCACAAGCCCAGGTAGATGACATCAACTGCTCTACCCCTGTCCATCAGTTCCGTAGCCCCATCATAGAAGGCCAACAAATTGGTCAGGCAGGATTTCCCCTTAGTGAAGCCATGCTGGCTGTCACCAAGCACCTTGTTGTTTTTCATGTGCCTTAGAATGCCTTCCAGGAGAATCTGCTCCAAGATTTTCCAGGCACAGAGGTGAGACTGACTGGTCTGTAGTTCCCTGGGTCACCCATTTTCCCCTTCTTGAAAATGGAGGTTATATTTCCCTTTTTCCAGTAGTCGAGGACTTCACTTGTCTGCCATGATTTTTCAAATATGATGGCCAGTGGCTTAGCAACTTAAGGTCACTAAACTGGATTAAGTTCATCACAAAACTACAAGATACTTAGGGGGCTTTTCATGGACCATCTCTTTCTGTCCATGAAGTCCTGCTCAGCCACGTTTTGCCTGGGGCAAAGTTCTTCCTTGCTGAGAACTGCTGCTCCTTCTGACACCTTTTGATTCTTGGTTTCATACTTTACATCTAATTTTATTTTTTCTCTTGTTTTAATTTAGTTACTGTTGCTGTTGCAACTATGGTAGACAATACATGCGAGCATGAACCTCATAACTCAGATTTCAGCCAACTACAGCAAAGTAATTCAGTGCTCTACAAAATGAAAACACTGGAGCAGGTTCAGCCTGCTCCAGTGAACTCCTGCTGTCACCCACTAGCTACCAATCCTTTTGTGGCTTCCAACAGTTTAGAATTTGAGCACTGCACAGTCATTAAGGTACCTATACACTACAGACAAGTAGAGAAGCATCATTCTCTCCAGTTCTCTAATGGACGAGGTGCAGAAGCCTGGTAGACTCATAGTCTGATGAGAATTGGGTGAGAAGATCTAAAGGAGCTCATCTTCTTTGTCTATTTTATCCAGAGCTGAAGAGGTATAAACCTTTGAATTACTGGGAATAAAACTATCCACTGCAAAAGTGTGTCCTTCCCTTTCAAGGAGAGGGGTGCAATATTCAGAGAGAGCAGAGAAGGCATTCAAAGCTTGTTCCTCATTCAGTTTGTATCATGAGGACATTCTGGCTCTGTGAAGTACGTGTATGAATTTTCCTGAGACTTAGTGGAATTGAAATGAGGTGTATATTTTGCTTGAGGTACCTCATCTTGTAATAAAATCTTGGACTGACCTATAGCACAAGTATTTCTGAAATACTGGTCAGTAATAAACACAGGAATTAATATTATAACCACTAGATGAATCTACGAGGATATTATTTATATACAGATACATGCTTAATCAGCAAAATTATCTCTAAACCTTAAATAAGTTGCACTATTGTTAGAAATGCTATTTCCTACTTAATAAATATTTAAGCCAAATATCTCTCACATTCACTGTATTTTGAGATGGACTTGAGAAAATGTGTTTAATTGAAGTCAAATGATTCAATACTTCTAAAAATAATTGAATACATATTCATGAATAACAATATCGCTTTGAGATGAGTGAGCCCATACTTTGAGTGGGCACATGCTGTTCTTCATTAGCCAGATAGAGTATGACCTGCTCTTGGACAATATGAATGTGAGCACTTGCAGAAAAGTTACTGGAAATTGAATCTGGGAGTAATACTGCAGTGCGTCAGCTGCTCTGTGATGAATGTGTTTTTACATAGCTATGTCCTGAAGTAAATGGAGGTAGCTTATCTTTCAATGTACATGACTCTGCCTGCAAAATGATCTTGAATTCTTTGTGTTAAATGCAAGTTAATAGAAAGTATTTGCAAGATACTTTTCCTTAGAGAATGACTGGAAAAAAAAAAAAAGAGTAGGTAGTGGAATCTACAGATAGAGACACTTTCAAGTAGTTTGGTACCAATGAGCCAAGCAGTAAAAACTTAAGAACATCTCATTATTTGGACTGCTTTGTCTTCACATTTTAAATTGCCATCTTAAGTTTTACCCCTCGGCATTTCCTGCATCTTCTTTATTGATACTATGTTGTGTCAAAAGCAATGTGGCAATAAGTAGAAGTTGTACTGAGTTGAGGGGAGTATGTGAATGGAAACAGTTTCATGGATCTGCAAAACAATTTTGTCAGATAGCAATTGCTGTGAAACAGCTTGTTTATAAATCACCTTTTTCTCACTAGATTCCAAATCTCTTCTACATACATCATCCCTGACAGCCAAAGGCTTGCCAAGTTGACAGCTGTTTTGTACTTTAAATTCACCATGAGCAAACACTACATTAGCAGCAGGCTATTTCATCAACTAGATGTGTATTCCTGCAGACCAAAACAAAATATGGACATTTTTCACTGGAAATTTTACCAGTAACAACAGAAACAACAGAAATGAAGCAAATAACTTCACTCCTATAGGCTTTCTGTAGGTCTTCTGAGTTTATCCCAAATCCACCCAAAAATGTTCACTTACAATAACATCTGATCTCAGACATCATCAGATGAGATAACATCTCATCAGGCACTTATGCATGTCTCAATTAAATAAATGATGGAGAGAAATCTAGTTTGGGAGGGACTGCTGGAATCTGTCTTCAGAAGAACTAACTTCAGAGTTAAATCACATTGCCGAGGGCTTTGAAATATCTCCAAGGATGTAGATTCCACAACCTTTTTGTGAAACAGTGTTGCACTATTCTCCCAGTGAATAGTATTTTCCTAATGCCCTTCTGCTAAGAAGGTTTGTGAATTTACAGCTTAATTCAGAATTGAGATTTTGTGAAAAAAGGTCTTCCCTCTGATATACAAGTCACCTAGCTTCTTATTGACTTCTCCTGTTTAAATTCTACAGTTTGTTAGAAAGTAAACTAATCAGTCATGTACAGGTGATTACATCAAAAGACTAGTTGGGAATTACTAAAGAGATACAAAAATCATAGAATTGTAGGATCAATCATAGAATCATAGAATGGTTTGAGTTGGATGGGAGCTTTAAAGATCACCTAGTCTAACCCCTCTGCCATGGGCAGGGACATTTTCCACTAGATCAGGTTGCTCAAACCCCCCTCCAACCTGACCTTGAACAGTGCCAGGGATAGGGCATCTACCACCTCCCTGGACAACCTGCTCCAGTGTTTCACCACCCATATCATAACAACATTCCTTCCTAGTCTGAATCTACACTCTTTTAGTTTAAAACCATTAGCCTTTGTCCTATCGCTACAGGCTTTCCTAAAATGGCCATCCCCACCTTTCTTATCAGCCACTTTTAAGTATTGAAAGGCTGCTACAAGATGTCCCCAGAGCCTTCTCTTCTCAGGGCTGAACAACCCCAACTCTCTCAGCCTGTCTTCATAGAATAGGTGCTCCAGTACCCTGATCATCTTCATGACCCTCCTCTGGACTTGCTCCAACAGGTCCACATCCTTCTTACACTGGGGCCCCCGGAGGTGGACGCAGTACTGCAGGTGGGGTCTCATGAGAACGGTGGAGAAAGAGTAAACCCCCCTTGACCTGCTGGACAAGCTGCCTTTGATGTAGCCCAGCATACAGTTGGCTTTCTGGGCTGCAAGCACACACTGCTGCTCACGTCCAGTTTTCATTCACCAGTACCCCCAAGTCCTTCCCTGGAGGGCTGCTCTCAATCCCTTCATCCCCAGCCTGTATTGATACTGGGGGTTGCCTCAACCCACGTGCAGGGCCTTGCACGTGGCCTTATTGAGCCACCTGAGGTTCACATGCACCCACTTCTCGAGCTTGTCCAGGTCCCGCTGGATGTCATCCTGTCACTCAGATATGTCAACTGCACCACTCCTCTTGGTGTCATCTGCAGACTTGCTGAGTGTGCATTTGATCCTACTGTCTGTGTCACTGATGAAGATATTAAACAGTACTAGTCCCACTACAGACCCCTGAAGGACACCACTCATCACTGATCTCCATCCAGACATTGAGCCATTGACCATTACTCTCCAGATGCAATCATCCAGCTAATTTCTTCTCCACCTAATAATCCATCCATTCAAACTCGTACCTCTCCAATTTAGAGAGATGGATGTTCTGGGGACTGTGCCAAAGACATTACAAAAGTCCAGGTAAATGATATCAGTAGCTCTTCCCTTGTCCGTTAATGAGATCCTTGTATATATTTCAGCCTTGATAGAAGCAACGAGCAAGGCAATGGGGGGATAGTGTAGGCAATAGTGTAGGTTCAGCATAGGTAGATTAAATGTATTCTGTGCATTTACCTATGTCTTTTGCAAATATCAAGCATGCTATTTCTTTTGAATGTCATATATAAATGGTTTGTTTGCATTTGACCTGTAAGGGGCTCCAGGTCAAGCACTGCTGGGCAACAACATGGCAATCTTCTCTCCGAAGTATGACAAACACATAAAAACGGTTTCCACAGCTCACTAGCACACTTCTTATACTACCCAAAGGGTAGTATAAAGGACCTCTGTTTCATCTGCAAAAGGCTAAAGAGAGAAATACCCTGCTGTGACACAGTGGAACCAAGAGGGAAAGAAACTTTCTCTGAGGCCCTGAAAGCTTTAAGATGTTGGAATGCATATTTGAACCACAAAGGTTACAGGCAGTATGTTACTGTTACATTTCCCTCAGATCCATATCTCACCAGGGTATTTTCAGGCAATGGCTACAGTGACAGAAACCTTCAAAATCAATGAGAAAACTTGACAACTGTGTTTTTAGCTTGTATTTTTGTAGGTTATTCAGTTCATGAGGGATCTCCTAAAAAGAAAACAGAAAAAAAAAAAAAAAAGAAAAGTAAACATCCAGAAATCAGAGGCTTCACATCCAAAATTAATATGTTTATTCCTTTTAGGCCAATTTTTCACAGCATCACTAAGTTTTTTAGTCCTAATGATGAGATTTGTCATCTTAAGAGACTTCACCAT